GCACAGAAGTGCAGGTCCTATTCCTAGTCTGTGCTCACCAGGCTGGGTTCTGCTGAGTGCTTTTAGCCCAGGACTCAAGCTATGGGAGCAGCCTCTAGGGAACAGACTAAAGTGGGTGGATCACTTGAGGCCAGGAGTTCAAGACCAGCCTGTCAACATGGTGAAACCCCATCTCTACTAAAATTTAGCCGGGAGTGGTGCTGCACACTTAGTCCTAGCTACTGGGGAGACTGAGGCAGGAGAATTGCTTGAACATGGGAGGCAGAGGTTGCAGTGAGCCAAGATCACACCTTTGCACTCCAGCCTGGGTGACAGAGCTCGCTCTCAAAAAGAAAAAAAAAAGTAGAAATTAAGAGTATCTTCTGTTTTAAAGACCTTTGCAAATTCTGTTGTTTGCTAACTGATGCACGGGTTTGGAGCTAGTGGCTAGCCCAAGGCCCCTCTGAGCTCAGAAGCCCATTAGAAGGTTTTTGGCATCAACAAGAGAGCTCTTTCCTTCTCTAGAGAAACCCCAGATAAAGGTGACAACAACCCAGACCCTGCATTATGAAATGGGGGCTTGAATTTACCTTCTGAATTTTTATTTTGAAGATTACGGAATAAAAAGCAAACAGGCTTGTCAAAAATTCTGAAAGGTGTGATAGAATTCTCACTGAGCACTAACACTTCTTAGTGCTTTTCCTTTATCAGACACTGTCACATGCCTTATGGTGTCTGCTCTTCCCGGCAACGTTGGGAAGTAGATGGAACTGTGCTTTATTTTAGGAATGGGACAGAAGAGATTCAAGTTAAGTGAAGTGCCTGGGGATGGTGCTGGGACAGACAGGTCACACTTCCGTGTTTAACAGCTGTGGGTCTCTTGTGGTCACCTTCCCAGTTTGGTCAGATCCCCAAAGGTAGATTTCTGGGACACTGGCTGTACAAGTAATTTTAACGGGAACTAAAAGTGGGTTAAGGTCCCCGCTCAGGGTTTGTAGGATTAAATCCAAGTACAGCCGTGAGCGATAAGTGTGTTAGATTCACAGGGCCAGGAGAGCACCAGTGGAGACTTCTGCCAGTGTGTTTCTTCCCCAAGATTTGTGCAGCTGAAACCTCCTTCTTTCCCCAGGCGCTGCAGTTTCTCCGGAAGAATTCCTCCAAGTATCATTTCAGACGCACCAGGATGCTGCCGGTGAGCGGCGCCTTCCACACCCGCCTGATGGAGCCAGCCGTAGAGCCCCTGACGCAAGTTTTAAAGGCAATCGACGTTAAGAAGCCTCTGGTTCCCGTCTACTCCAACGTCCACGGGCACAGATACGTGCATCCCACGCACATCCGGAAGCTGCTGGCCCAGCAGGTGGTCTCCCCAGTGAAGTGGGAGCAGACGATGCACGCCATATACGAAAGGAAAAAGGGCAGCGAGTTCCCCAAAACTTTCGAAGTAGGCCCCGGGCAGCAGCTGGGAGCCATCCTGAAGAGCTGTAACTTGCAGGCCTGGAAGTCCTACAGCCCCGTGGACGTGCTGCAGACCCTCGAACACGTGAACCCAGACCCTGAGGAGTCCCCAAGATGACCATGGGGGGCTCAAACGGATGAACCCCTGTGCCCTCCTGAGAAGAGGCTATGAGCTGTGCCCACCACACCCTCCCTTCCTAACGGCTCCTCTTCCAAGTGAAAGGGATTGTTTGCAACGTGTTTTGAAGGCCACATAAAAAGCCCTAAGTGAGTATTTCTTTACATGACCCAGTCCATTTCTCCCCCTTGGAAAAAATCTTTGGATGTTGGGAAGGATGCCACAGGGCTGCCAGCCCTGCACCATGGGTGGGTGTGCCAACTCAGCAGGACAGGGAGGGTAGGGTGCTGCAGCCTCATGCCAGCCCCTGCCCTGCCTTGCCCTGCCCTGCAGGTACTGGGAACATGCTGGTGAGGACTTATGTCCGGCCAGTGCCAGGGGAGCCCCTCCAGCACCCCCCAGGGCTCCTTTGTCACAAATCTAGGTTTTAGAACCCAATTGGCCTTGGCAGTGTTGTTCACCCCCTCTCTTGACAGCTGGAAGACAGTCCCACATTTGCTGACATACCCAAGACATACATAGAGTGCCTGCTGTGTGCCAGAGTGTGAGTGGGCTGTTCTGGTAAAGGGTCCTTGAGAGGTGCAGGGTGTGGGGAGTGCCAGGAAGGGAGGGCAGCTGAGGCTCTGGTCCTGGGGTGGGACCATAGGACTATGGTCACTGCAGGTCTGCGGGTGCCGGAGGGAGCACAGCACATACCTGCCTCGGACCTGACCCCCGGCTCCATGCCCCGTCCTTGGACGGAGCAGCTCCTGTATGAATCTCAAATATGACACATTCCAAGCTGCTTGGGCGGTGGTTCATTATTCAGATAGTGGGAAAACATTGCGAATCAACTCTTAAATAAATGTGACCATTTGTGGCTGGGCACGGTGGCTCATGCCTGTAATGCCAGCACTTTGGGAGGACAAGGCAGGTGGATCACAAGGTCAGGAGTTTTTGAGACCAGCCTGGCCAATATGAAACCCCATCTCTTCTAAATATATAGAAATTAGTCAGGCACGGTGGCAGGCACCTGTAGTCCCAGCTACTCGGGAGGCTGAGGTAGGGGAATTGCATGAACCCAGGAAGCAAAGGTTGCAGTCAACCAAGATCACGCCCCTGCACTCCAGCTTGGGTGACAGAGCAAGATTCTTGTCTCAAAAGTTATAGGGTTTCTCACTGTTAGTTCTGTGGCATTTCTCCGAAGCGCCCTGCTGGCCTTTGGGCAGAACCGTTTCGTTCTGTGCGACCATCCATTGTTGGCCAGCTGTCCTGGTGCTGGGCCATTACAGGCCAGCAGCACTTCCAGGCATTGTGACTCTGTGACCCCCAAACACCCTGCCTGTCTCCATGAAGCCCTGGGTTAAACACCAGCAAAAGCAGATACACCGATTCCCACTGCAGACTGCATGCATGTCCCTTGAAGCAGGATGGTTCTTTGGAAAGAACTAGGTCTCAAATGTTTATTGCACAAAGAAATGCTTATTTTAACTGAGCCTGTTTGAAGCCCTTTCCCTGAGAGCTTCAAGCAGTGGCAGCCTCGGGAGACCCAGACTCTCCACGTCCAGGTTCTCTGGCAATGCTGCGGGCAGGATGGCGTTGTAGGGTCATGTTCAGCTCTGAGGAACAAAATCCCAATAAGGGAGGGGGTCTGCTTTCCGAGGAGCCGGGAACAGCAGGCCTTACCGCTTGCTCTCTGGGCACTGCCCGTGTCCTGGGCTGGTACTAGCAGATCCAAGACCAGGAAGGGGGAAGAGACAGCAGAGGGCATATGGTGCTGCTCTACCAAAGACTCCGGAAAGCTGTCAGTATCACCTGTAGGGCAGGGGCTGCCCCATAGGTAGCCCACAGGTGAGGGCAGGCAGCGGTCCCAGCGACTCTACCCCTGCTCCTTTGCACAATCCCTACAGAGCGGCAGGCATGGGCAGACAAGGGGAGTCGGAGTCAGAGCCCAGAGTCCTGGGGTGAGCCACGCAGAGTCCTACATCTTGTTCCTTGGTGGGAACTTGGCAGGTTCCTGCCCCTTTAAGAAAGTGCCAATGGGTGGCTTTGGTCCCAGCACACTGGCCCAGCCCTTGATGAAAACTGACTCTGCCACCACATCTCTGGGCCTCATGTCCTAGGAGAACCTTGCCTGCTTCTCTAGGCCTGTGTGGCATCGGGGCCCCCCCCCTCCCCAGGATAGTGAGATCCCATCTCTACAAAAATATAAAATGGACCAGTGATCAGCCTCTCCTTTGTCAGGAGAACCCCAGATTCGAGGAAAGGGTGGTGTAGAGGTGAGCAGACCCTCTTGCACCTCTGCTCACCAGTAGGCACTGCCAGATGGTGGTATGGGCTCAGGGGCAGGTGGGAGGTGGAAAGCCTGAGTGTGGGTCTAGGAGACCTGGGTGAAGCAGCAGATATAGAGGTGGGCAGAGAACACCCCACACCCAGAGTGTAGGCAGCATATGACAAGGCCACCCTTAGGCCACAGCTCGGCCCCACGGCTCGTCTGCAGAAGCTCCTAAGCCCACCGTTTTCACTGCATGTGTTTCTGATGGCCTTTGGTCAGTGGGCTGATCAGGGGTGGAAAAGGGTCCATGGCTGGGTGGAATGTCCAAGACCACCTGCAGTGTGGTCTTAAAAAAAAAAGCCGGGCGTGGTGGCTCAAGCCTGTAATCCCAGCACTTTGGGAGGCTGAGGTAGGCGGATCACCTGAGGTCAGGAGTTCGAGACCAGCCTGACCAATATGGTGAAACCCCATCTTTAAAAAAAGGAAAAAAAAAAAAAAAGGCTGCCAAGGGCCAGAACTTGGGGGAGAGAAACAGAAAACTAAGGAGGCCTAGTGAGGCTGCCCTTTGGTCTGGAGGGCCGGAGGACACCGGAGCAGGACGCAGGGTCTGCCCAGCCTACCTGGGATGTGGAACACCTGCATCTCCTGGACTAGCTCTGGGGATAGGCAGGGAACAGAAAGGGCCTGGCTGGGAAGATGAGGCTGCAGGATGGTGGCCGGCCCAGCCCAGCTTTGACATTTAGGGTGGAGGGCAGACAGAGCCCATGTCCCGGGAGGGAGGCCTGGTGGGGTCCAGAAATGGCACAAGGCCAAGGCCCAGGGCAGGTACCAAGTGCACGAAGAAGGGGGCTGCCCTCCTGCACCTGGTGCCCCTTGTCTTGCACCAGCCTTCCCACCATCCCTCCCTGTAAGGGAGCCAGGCCTGCATCCCTTTGGCAGGAAGTATGTGCAGGGGGAGACAGGTATCGCCTAACGAGGACCTAAAATCCCCAACAGTAGATTTCAGGCCACAGACCAGGATAAGAGAGAAGGCAAACCATCGGGCCAAACCAAGACAGCATTTGCGGTCCCCGGGTGCAGGGAAGAGCCTCATTAGAAGTACCAGGCCCTGCCCTCCCCACCAACACTGTGCACCCTCTCTGGGCCAAGAAGAAGCCCGCACTGGTGTGCCAACCCCTAGAGAGGACCAGAGACTGCTGGAAACCAACATTTTATTGCGCACTCCTGCTCCTCAGAATCTATTCCAGTGGATTCTGGGCATTGCATCACACAGGGGTGTGACCAGCACTCCCCCTGCTGCCTGCCTGTGGGCAGGGACAGGAGTGAATGGCTCTTCCTGGGCACAGGCCATAGTTAACCGGTAACAAGCTCGGAGCCATAGGAATTCATCTCTTAAAAAACTGGAGGCAAAAAAAACCTGAGTATGAACCCTCAGCAGTGTCCCAGCACTATCTCAGAGTTTAAATATAAAAAGGGATCATAAGAAAACAGTTAAAAAGACAACACCAGTAGGCCGCCACCTCCAGGGCAGTGCCAGGGCAGTGGTCGCAGGGGCGGGGCCAGCCCCGCCCTGAGCCATGGGGGCCTCACTTGAGCAGCAGGTGCAGACCCCCGCTGAACGTCGCCAGCAGCAGCGCCAGGAGTGCCAGCAGCACTGCCTGTTTGCGGGACACCTGCAGGAGCAAAGCCGAAGATTCAGGGCTCGGAGCAGGCCCCAGCAATGAGGCCCAACGGGTGACAGCGGAGTGCCACGGGGAAGCCCAGGGAGGTGGGGACTGGGAAGGAGCCGGAGGGTTCCAGAGAAGGAGTTCAGGAGACGGGGAAAGTGGCCCTGAGGACATCGCCCTAAAGGCCAGTGTGGCCTGGGGCTGCCAGTCTGCGGGACACAGGCAAAGACACCTGGTGGACACAGGTGAGGGTGGTCAGCTGCCCTGGTGGTGGGGAGTGGGCAGCATGGGACCAGGCTGCTAGGAAGGCTGCTCACGGAGGCACCTGCTCAGGCCAGGAGCCGGTGAAGCCTCTCGGGGCAGAGGGAGAACAGGACCCTGCACTGGTCTGTGCACTCACAACCAGGAGTCTCAAACCCAAAAGCCCATGGGACCAGGCAGATGTGGAAATGGGGCACAGAAGATGACAGGGAGCAGAGGGGACTGCGGCGCCCTGAGGAGCAGCTCTGACAGTCCTCTCTGGCCACAGTGCAAGTCACGTACAGAAATCTCAAGGCTCTTACCCAGGACCCGGAGCTCAGGGATCTCCAGAGCCTCACTACGTCCTCCTGGAAGTTAGCGAAAACGTCCACGATACCGCCGAGAACATCCCTGATGTCGGTCTGGTCAAGGGTGACAGCGAGACCCGGGCTACAGAGGGGATTGGGGGTAAAGCTGTTACCACAGAACAGGTAACGACAGCCCATACTTAGATGACATCATCACAGGTGTAAGGAGCAGGGGGCCTGCGCCCTCCCACCCACAGCCACCTGGGCCCTTTCCCCGGGCGCCTCCACCCACAGGGGCTGCTCTGCAGGGGCTGTTGGTGGTCAAATTCATTCCGATTTCCTGCTTCCTCCCCCAGCTGCCCGCCAGCCCACTGGCCCTGTCTTCCGGAGCTGGCCACATGGAAAATAAACCCCCATTCTACAGGGTCCTGGCAAGTCACTACCCACCGTTCTACCCCCCGAGACCAGCTGAGAGCCCCAGCCCCCCAGGGTCTAGGATGCGAGCTCATGTAGCAGCTCCTTTTAAGACCATGGCGGAGGCTAGGTGGGGTGGCTCAAGCCTGTAATCCCAGCACTTTGGGAGGCCAAGGTGGGTGGATCATGAGGTCAAGAGATCAAGACCATCCTGGTCAACATGGTGAAACCCCGTCTCTACTAAAAAAAAATACAAAAAATTAGCTGGGCATGGTGGTGCGTGCCTGTAATCCCAGCTACTCAGGAGGCTGAGGCAGGAGAATTGCCTGAACCCAGGAGGTGGAGGTTGCGGTGAGCCGAGATCGCGCCATTGCACTCCAGCCTGGGTAACAAGAGCGAAACTCCGTCTCAAAAAAACAAACAAACAAACAAACAAAAAAAGACCATGGCGGAAATGGACCATCTGGGCTTGAAGGTGGGAGGGAAAAGGGCCCTGGGCTCTGCTTTATCTATTGCCCAGGAATGCCAGGGACAGGTGGCAAGGGCCAGGGACAGGAGCTGGGGGCTCCCAAGGGAGGTGCAGGCAGCAGCAAAGGATTTCAGTACAGCCCTAGAGTGCCAGGGGCACGTCCCCGCCAGGACTTCCCCAGGGCCCTGTGCTGCGTTCAAGGATCCACCCACCACCTGGAGTCTCTTCCCAGGTGTAGAGGCCCCGGCAGGGCACAGGCCAGTTACCTGTACATGGCCACCTCGTAGAGCTGGGCCAGCCTCCGGGCCCTAAGGCTCACATCCATCTGGTCCGCGATGCAGGCCAGCTGCAGGGCCAGTGCGTCACTGCGGGGAGCACACACAGGAGTCAGGGGTGTGGCTGTGCCATGGAGGCCAAATGCACCTGGACCCACCCAGCCAACGGATTGTGTGCAGCTGAGAGTGGCCCAGAGGGTGAGAGATGGTGTCAGATTCAGGGCAGGTGGCGAGTGGGCCTCCCTCCCTCCCTCCTCCAGCTCCCACTTGGCTTCAGAGACACCCTCAAGGTCCCATCCATGGGACCCAGACACCAGAGGTGCAAATCATTTCAAATGATCCCTGCTGGGCTGGCCAGGGACAGCAGGGAGCAGCCTGAGTGGGTGCCTGTCCTAGGCCCTCTTGTGCCCCATGTCTACCCACTAGCATAGCGGGCAGAGGGCTTGTGATACAGGCCGAGCCCCACTTCGGGCGGGGAGGGGGAGAGGGCACTGGTGCCTGGGGCAACCGAGTGAACAGGTGAGTCTCCCAAGGCAGCCCACCTGAGCACCCAGGGATGACTGAACATGCAGAACTTTCCTGGGGCAGGCCCACCTGCAGGCTTTGGCGGAAACAGTGGACAAGGGGAACAGGCAGGTCTGGGGAGCACTGTGCCCCCCCCCAACAATGGCTGCGCTGGCTTCCCACATGGGTTGCAGCTTACCTTCCTTTGTGGGAGGTGAGGCTATAAGACCTGCGTCCCAGTTCCCAATCCTGAAACCAGCCCTGCTGGCACCACCCCTCTCAGAATGGGGGCACACACACCTACGCCTCACCACATCCGTTCCCACACAAAGACTGAAACACGGCCGGGTGCAGTGGCTCACGCCTGTCATCCCACAGGAGGCTGAGGCAGGCGGATTGAGACCAGCCTGGCCAATATGGTAAAACCCCATCTCTACTAAAAATACAAAAATTAGCTGGGTGTGGTGTGTGCCTGTAGTCCCAGCTACTCAGGAGGCTGAGGCAGGAGAATTGCTTGAACCCAACCTCAGGTGATCTGTCCACCTCGGCCTCCCCAAAGTGCTGGGATTACAGGTGCGAGCCACTGAGCCTGGCCAAAATTCTTTCTTGCTTTATCTAAGAACCCTCTCTTGATCTGGATCTGGTCCCCCTTCTGCCAGCAGAGCCACCTCTGAGAGGCCTTGATGTGCTCAGCAGGTTGCTAAGGGCCTGTCAAGCGAGGCCCCAGCACTGTGCCATTTGGACAGCCAGTGGCCCTAGGTCTGTCTTGGGACTGTCAACATGCTGGCTATCCAGGGGTCTGTGAGCTGGTGTTGGGGCGGTGGGGTGCAGGGAAGTGACCGCAGGTCTGTCTTGGGACTGTGAACATGCTGGCTGTCCATGGATCTGAGCTGGTGTCAGGGGGGCGGGGTGGGGGTGGGGGTGGGGGTGGGGGCAGCAAAGTGAAGCTGCTCCTAGGGCAGAAGCCTTCATGCCCACATCTGGGCATGTTCCTCGGGGGCCCTGCCTGGGAGGCATCTGCAGACACTCCCTCCCTCTCAGAAGGTCTGCTCATCCAGCCCACCCCTGAAGTCAATACCAGGCATGGGGCAGAGCTGGGGCCTAAGGCAGGCCACAGGGACCTACCTGTTCTCCATGCATTCCAACGGGTCCTCCACAGGGTCCAGGTCCTCTTCAGGGTCACTCCCACCACCGACAACCTCCATGGTCAGGGGATCCATGAACTGCTCACACAGGAGGGTCTCCATCAAGATGTCACTGGAGAGGGGTCTTACTTCAGACATTTCTCCTCTGGGGCAAAAAGAGTACAACTGGACCCCTCAGAACTGAGCAATCTGGGGCTCACTCAGAGGATGACCCCCAGGATTGCATAGCCCTACTCGCCCTCTCTCTTGATCCGCTAACACCGTCAACATCCCCTAACCCCAGCTTCCACAGCATGAATCCTGCTACATGCTGGCTGTGTGCCTCCGGGCAAGTCACCCAGCATCTCGGGACTTGATTCATAAGGGCCTTTGCCTACTTTCATCCTTTGTTTTTGTTTTTGTTTTTTGAGATGGACTCTTGCTGTCACCAGGCTGGAGTACAGTGGCACCATCTCGGCTCACTTGAATCTCTGCCTCCTGGGTTCAAGCAATTCTTCTGCCTCAGCCTTCTAAGTAGCTTGGACTACAGATGCGCACCACCACGCCCAGCTAATTTTTTGTATTTTCAGTAGATATGGAGTTTTACCATGTTGGCCAGGCTAGTCTGCACCACTTAGCAGAAGACCGCACCTGTTCTTTGCTGTCTGCTTTCTCTTAAGGCAGAGAGAAGCAAAATGAGAAAGACGTTATCACAATCCCAATTCCCAGAGCGACCATCGCTAATTCTTCTAGTGTTTTTCCTAAACTTAAGTAAGCATCACACATCTGTCTTCAGTTCCCAAACCCCCCTTTTCTATAGGGTGGCCCTGCATCCTCATCCATCTAAGCCAGCCATGGCCCTCCTCTCCCCCAGGTTCCCAGCATCTCTTGCAGCTGGTGACAGCCATGTCACCCAGTTCTGGTCAATGAGGGCTTAGAAGCTGGAGGCAGGGGTTGGATGCCAGGGAGCAGACAGATACCAGGGCAGGCCAGCTCTCCTTCCTCCAAAGATGGAGCTGCAGCAGGTGGCCAAGAATAGCAGAGATGGGAGGCCGAGAGTGCCCAGGCCTGAGGGTGTCACTGAGCTGCCTCCTCTGTGTTTAAGAAAAATGAACCCAAATCCGTCTTCATCACCATTCACTGAGTTTTCTGTTCTTTGACACCAAAGGCCTTCCTAACTATGATCACTGCGGATTCTCACATCAATAAATGTTTCATCATGATGGCAGAAGGGACCTGGTTCACCATAATGTACCCCACAGGGTACCAAACAGCCTTAGATCTCAGAAATGATGATGCTGCTGACTGTGGGATGAGAATCGAAGGCCTAGTTGAAAGCCCTGCTCTGGCAGTTAGCAGCAGTGTGTCCGTTTCTTCACCTGTAAAGGGGTTGGATGGTCCGAGTACCCCTCCCTGGGCTATTGGGAAGACGAAACAAGGAACTCCTTAGTAGTCTGAACAGAGCCTGGCACGCTGGGAGGAAGCTGGCACTAACCATCATCACCTTTGTGCTTCAACTCATTGTTTTCTTACTATAATGCCCTGGGTGTTATGAATTTTTAATTCCCCATGCCTACTGATAGAATGCTCCGCCCTCCCACTGTCTCACCGAACTGTTTGTTCAAACAGGACACTGAGGCTTGGAGAAGTTCATGATTGAGCCAAGAAGGGACAGAGCTCCAAATCTCTCTATTCCCCAAGCCAAGGAGGACTGATGGCAGGCAGGACCCACAGGGCAGCCCTCTCACAGGCCTAGGCACGAGTGTGTTCTCATAACTTGCTTTCAGCATTAAAAGGAGAGGATGGGCTGGGCGTGGTTGCACCTGTCATCCCAGCAGTTTGGGAGACCGAGGCGGGTGGGTCACCTGAGGTCAGGAGTTCAAGACCAGCCTGGCCAACATGGTGAAACCCCATCTCTACTAAAAATACAAAAAATTAGCTGGGCATGGTGGCACGTGCCTGTAACCCCAGCTGCTCTGGAGGCTGGGGCAGGAGAATCACTTGAACCCAGGAGGAGGAGGTTGCAGTGAGCGGAGATCGTGCCATTGCACTCCAGTCTCGGCGACAGAGCAAGACTCTGTCAAGAAAAAAAAAAAAAAAATTAGCTGGGTGTGATGGTGCTTGCCTCTAATCCCAGCTACTCAGAATGCTGAGGCAGGAAAATCACTTAAACTCGGGAGGCAGAGGTTGTGGTGGGCTCATGCCATTGCACTCCATTCTGGGCACAAGAGTGAAACTCCGTCTCAAAATAAAATTAAAAGCCAGCTGTCGTGGTACATGCCCATAGTCCCAGCTACTTGGGAGGCTGAGGCAAGAGAATCGCTTGAACCTGGGAAGCGGAGGCTACAGTGAACTCTGATCGTGTAACTGCATTCCAGCCTGGGTGACACAGCGAGATTCTGACTCAAAAGGAAAAAAAAAAAATTCACAGGTGAGATGTTTTAACATTGTATACACTGTATAGATTGCCAGCAGTATGTGTGTTAAGGTGGCATCAAAAAGAACTTCGTCCAGAACTGCTGGCTGCCGTGGGTGTCTATGCAAATAGCCATTTCCCTAAGAAAGCAGCTCCAGCCCTCGTTTGCTTTTTCCGCATTCCCTACCCCTGCAGAAAAGGCCTTCTCCTCTCCTGCTCTGTGCTCCTGTGGAAACCAGACTACCTCCATGCCCCGCAAAGAAAGAGCCGCAGTGGAAACTCCGCTCAGAGCTGAGCTGTGAGCTGCACTGAGCCTGCCTCGATCCCCTGTCCCAACATCCCCCAAAGCGCTTTGGTGGAGGCAGGTGGATCACCTGAGGTCAGGAGTTTGAGACCAGCCTGGCCAACATGGTGAAACCCTGTCTCCACTAAAAATACAAAATCAGCCAGGCATGGTGGCACTCGCCTGTAATCCCAGCTACTTGGGAGACTGAGGCAGGAGAATTGCTGGAACCTGGGAGGCGGAGGTTGCAGTGAGCCCAGATCGCACCACTGCACTCCAGCCTGTGCTACAGGGCAAAACTCTGCCTCAGAGAAAAAAATTAGAATGGCGGTACTAGTAACACCTATTGCACAAGACCATTGTGAGGATGAAATGACCTGGCACAAGAGTAAACCGGTGAGAAAGCAGCTGCTGCTCTTAACAGTTTCTGCTTCTCAGCCCAAGGCCTGACAGAGCAGACATACGTTTGTTGACTGAAGACATGAAGGCAATCTATTCCCAGAGGACCCGCCATGAGGTCACTGCAGCTGCAGATCCAGGAAACTGGACTGGTTTTATTATCTTTTTTTTTTCCAAACAAACTTGCAAATGAGTAGGTAAAACCCTTCTTTGGTGAAGGAAGACACACCTAGCCGTGTGTCCCCCCCAGGCTGCAGCCCACACTTGTCTCCTACACACTCACCAGTGGAAACACCAGCGGCCAGTCGGAAGCCCTGTTTTACCCTAACAGGTTAGGATGCAAATCTAATGTGTGCAGAATAAGCGCCACACCCACAGCCTTGAGGGCACCTGCAGGGCTCAGAGTGGGCAGGAGGGCAGGTTCTGAACAGAGCAGCCTGCATTTGGTGAACAGTTCTGCACTCAACAGCATGCCTCGGGCTCATCTGAGAGATGAGGAAATGCCAGCCACCTTCCAGGTCATTCAAAAGCCCAAGCAAGTAGAGATGCGTCCTGCACAGCCCTCAGCAGGTGTTCAAGGGCTGAGGCTGCAGGATCATGGGGGGTGGGGTCCAGCTCCTGGTAGGGACCCTCAGACTCTCGGGATCTCACTCAGTCCAGTCTAAGCAGGCAAACCAAGAGGGCCAGGGGCCACTCTGGGGTCACAGGGATGGTCACCTGAGTCGGCACAGCTAGAAAACCCTAGTCTAGGCTGGGCACGGCGGCTCCCGCCCGTAATCCCAGCACTTTGGGAGATGGAGGCAGGTAGATCACCTTTGGTCAGGAGTATGAGACCAGCCTGACCAACATGGAGAAACCCTGTCTCCACTAAAAATATAAAAAATTAGCTGGGCATGGTGGTACATGCCTGTAATCCCAGCTACATGATAGACTGAGGCAGGAGAATCACTTGAACCAGGGAGGTGGAGGCTGGGCACAGTGAGCCAAGATGATGCCATTGCACTCCAGCCTAGGCAACAAGAGCAAAACTCTGCCTCAAAAAAAAAAAAACAAAACCCAGTCCAGTCTTCTGAATTGGCACAGCCTGGTCCTGGACCGTGAGGGTGGGGTGACGCAAAGCCCTTGGAGCAGGCTCAACTCAGGTGCAACCCAGCAGGAAATGGCCTGACCTTGCAGCCAGGCTGGACCTCAGTTCCACTCCCTGCTCGGCCCCTGCTGTGAGGCAGATCTATCTGCTAACCTCTGAGCCTTGCAGAAACAGCCAGGCCTCCAGGGCTGCTGAGAGGATGAAAAGATACACTATTGTCCATTTTCCGCCACCTCGAAGGGGCTCCATAAAAGCTGGTTAACTCAATCAACAGCCTCAGAATAAGGAGATCAGAGGCCGCTCACAGCTCAGGGTGCCACAGTAGATGCGCAAGCTGCTGCCTTTCTGGAGGAGATTCAGCATCCATAAGTCACACATGCACATGACCTTTGATTCTCGGGATGCATCCCATACATCCCTGCAGGGACCTGGCAGCCCTCAAAACACGAAGCCACGGATCTGCAGGTGCTGCTGCACTGTCATCGCAGCCCTTTAAGGAGACAGACAGGCAGACGGCACAAGCCCAGTTCAAAACCAGCCTGGGCAATATGGCGATACCCTCTACCTAAAAATAAACTGCAGCCTCCACCTCTGAAAGTGAAGAGCAGAACGGACATGCAGGTAGGTATTCAAAGTATGGTTTCGACTGATTGTGTTGCACTTTTGCTGTACCATACAATGAAAAATCCTCAATCAAATCAAATCTAAGTTGGGGGATATCCGTACAGTAAAGTTGTAAGAACCCTGACGCGGTGACTCACGCCTGTAATCCCAGCACTTTGGGAGACTGAGGCTGGCAGATCATGAGGTCAGGAGATCGAGACCATCCTGGCTAGCACAGTGAAACCCCATCTCTACTAAAAATACAAAAACTGGCCGGGCGAGGTGGTACATGCCTGTAATCCCAGCTACTCGGGAGGCTGAGGCAGGAGAACTTGCTTGAACCCGGCAGGCAGAGGTTGCAGTGAGCCAAGATTGCACCACTGCACTTCAGCCTGAGCAATGAGTGAGACCCTGTATCAAAAAATTAGGAGAGAGACATTCTATTCTATGCCCTTTCCTGTTTAAACACCTATAAAAATAATCCTAACCGTAGAGGAAGTGTAACAGACTAATAATTCTCTTGACTGATTTTGAAATGACCCCAAAAAGGGGAAGCCTGTGCCTTTTTATCACCATGCGGGAAGCAGAGAATGCCAAGCAACCACCTGGGTCTATAGTTGTTGAAAAGTACATGTTTAAAACCAGTTCTGGGCTGGGCACAGTGGCTCCCTCCTGTAATCCCAGCA